TCCTAGATACATCTTGCGTGAGCATAGGAATTTTTTTGAAATTGCATGCTACGTTTCCCAACAACCTTGGTGAGATGGTAATAGGACACATGGGACACTGGTATTTACCAAGGTTCAGGCCCTCTCAAAGAGGTAAAACGCCACGTCATATTTTGTTGTATTGATTGTGGATGAGGTACAGGGCACATGTGATCTACCGTGAGATCGTGTGAGAATGAATGTCCGTTCTATGGCCCTGGCACCTCGGTTTATATAGACATCGAGGTACCTAGGGTTTATATATAAGTCGGTTGAACATTGGGGCAAATGCGCCACCTTTGGATCTTGGAGTACATGCAAAGTCTTCGAATCCCGTCATTCATGGTCCAGATGAAAGAGGCCCACCAGATGATAAGTTTAGCAGGTTCCTTGGCCCACCCCAAAGGACCAGTGACCGACGTGCCAACCACTTCCTAATCCAACACTCCGTCAGCAACTGGTAAGCCTACTTCGGCTAGTGTGCCACATTAAAGTCAACTTCTCACCTCGCATGTTTAAGCACGGCTTCGGTGTCGTCCATACCACACCGCACCACTACCCGTCTACCTCGTCCACACTACACCGCACCATGTCGAAGTCATGGTTCTCTATGCAGGCAGGTCACACTTTAGATCTCCTTCCGCATATGGATCTTTGTGCATCTACCGCCATTCTCCGGGGCCCTTGACCTCCACGGAGACAGGCTCCTTCAACAAGGAGGAGATCATCATCTCCTTCGGCGAAAAGCAGGAGCCGCTGCCACAACAGCTGCACCTCCTCATGGAGGCGGCGATCACGGACGACGAGTGCCAACAGCAAATGGAGCTCATGATCGAGCGGTCACTTAGGGGCCCTTGACCTCCATGGAGGACGGCCGCTCCAACAAGGAAAAGATCATTATCTCCTCTGGCAATGAGGAGAAGCCTCTGTAGCAACAACTCCACCTTCTCAGCAGGCGGCGGTCAGTCACGATGAGTGCCAACGGCAAATGGAGCTCATGATTGAGCGCTCGCTACGGTGCCGTGGTCCAGCGCCGCCTTCGTTGCCGCAAGCTCGCGTCAAGGAGGAGTCGGCGCCACCGCCTCTCTAGTGTGTGAAGGCGTAGCCGGGGTCGCCCCTGCATAGCCGGTACGGCCACATCGACCAGCCAACATCGTAGATGTGCCACGTCTGGGGCGGCAAGGCCGTGAAGGAGGTGGTGCCGCTGGGGACTGCGAAGGCACGTGGGCGCCTCCTCAACCACTCCTCCCGTGGCGGTCGCGGCTCCTCGTAGCCGCAAAGCATTGTGCCAGTCCAGCAAAGGGCGGTCATGGCGGCGGCGCCGTGTTCGTAAAGTTCGATGAGGCGCTGGTCCCGATCTGCGCGGACACGGACCTTGTGGAGCCCCGGGCTCGTGACCGGTCGATGACACCGCGGAGACTGTCGCGCGGCGACCATGCCGCCTCGATTGGGACCTCACTAAGGTTGGCGAGGAGTGGTCTCTCAATGAGATTGCCACCGCCGCTGGCAGGGGCAAGGGTAAGGCTCCCTGGTTATGGTCGGTGTTGACCGTGGCGGCCTTTCACACGGCGCAAGACAAAGCACAGTGTCTGGGCATGGTTGTCATGCCTCCGCGCTATTCCGCCGCTGGAAGGACCACCGCTACGACAATACATACAACGACGAGGTGCTGCCGGCCAGCCTGGGCACGCGTACAAGATCACCGTTCGGCGACCGCTACATGCTAGCTTAATATTTTTTTAGGGTTTATTAATTAAACGGACGAAACATCGTCCGCCTTATGCAAAGAAACCATCAAAATTATGTCCGTTTGAATGATTTCCGCCGTGTTTGCATGAAATACATCCAAACTTGTTTGTATTGCAGGCGGGCATTTACGACGAGCGTTGGATGGCCGGTTCTGTATCATTGTCCATGGAAAAATACTATGTCCGTTTTAAAGGCAGGCATTGGAGATGACACAAACCTGAACTCATCTTCGGGGACGTGTTTCCTACCCAAGCCGCCGCCGCCGCCAGGCGACTAGGGCGAGGCACTTTTTTCCTCCGATCTCCACCGGCCGGTGCGCTGGCCCCCTCTCCCTTTGGCTGCTGCTCCGGCGGCAGGAGGGAGGGGGACCCCGTTCCTCCGCTCTGTAGTTAGGTTTTGGATTTGTAGGTCGTGGTGCGTTGTTGGGGTGGTGGGAGCGGTGCCCGGACGAATAAATCTGCCTCAACCCCACTCCCACACCGGCGGTGTCCTTAATGGCGGCGTCTCGGAGTTGATGGCATTGTGTCTCTGTCGATCCCTCAGATCGACAGCGTTAGGGTTCATGGATGGTGTTGACGAGGCGGCGGCGGCGACTCCATCAGGTGTGTCTCTCCTTCTGCTCTGTCCCCGTTGCTGTGGCGTTGTCTCCGACGTCATGGTGGAGCAGGGAGGTTTTGTCGTTCAGGAGTACGCACAGGCGGTTGTCTATGCAAGTGACAGCTGGAAGATGGAGTATCTTGTGTTGGGTCTGTGGTCGAAGGCGGGCAGTTCTGATTTCCTTCTCCGACGTCGTCGTCATGCGAGGGTGTCAGTTCTGAAGTTCGATGGCGTGTCCGGGGACATGTTGCCCCGGTCTGATTCTTTCAACGGCTATGGTTTTGTTTTTGGCAAACTACTTTGGAGGTCCGTAAAGCTGCTGATCAGCGATGGAGCCGCGTCGAGCTTGGGCGAAGAGGTGATCTGTTTTTTTATCCTTTGGTGGACGCTTCGGTGGTGTCGAAGGAAAGGGACAAGCGCTGGTATTTTGCATAGGATTTTCTTATCTTTTCAGTCATGTATGGTCGGTGCTTACGTGCCTTGTAACTTGATTTTTATTCTATATAAATGAGACACGTATTACCATGAAAAAAAAACCCTGAACTCATCGGACGAGATGGATGAGTTCGTATGATGCGTGGAAGTTTCGTTTCCAATCGACTGAGACTGAATCCTTTTTAGCGAGACCTGGTGCTCCTAAACAAAACCGCGCACTCCTATCCCCTTCCCCGAGCACGAAGGAGCATCGTGGCTAATCACGTGGGTACAAGCAGGAGAAACCAGAGAGATACCTAAACCCCAAACCGCACTGAAACACCGCTGGAAATGTGGAAGCCCAGATCGCAACGGGACAACTCTGACCGGTCAACACTCCCTTGGTTTACCGACTAAACAAGCCACCGTTTTTCGTTAATAACGCCGCCCGAGGGCACCAGACACCAAAATTTCACGCACGGAATTTACAGCTCCCAAGCCGCTCGTCCGTCCTTCCTACCCGCGCCGCGCGGGCCCACCGGCCGCATTATTCTCGCCGTACCGTTTATTCACCGACACCCGCGGTAAAAAACACCGCCCCGGGCCACCCGGGCCGTCCGATGCCCCGACCGCTCGCATCCGGCGGCGGGACCGCCACCCACCTACCCCCATTAATTGGGCTGGCTGCCCCGTCCCGCGGCAGCATCACCACTTCAGCAGCAGCAGCAGCAGCGAGGTCCAGTCTCAGCTCAACTCACTCTCGCCACTGCTCTCCTCCTGCTTTCCTCGCCAGCGGCGGCGGGCTCCTCCGGCGACGAGGCTCCAGGAGTCTACGGCTAAGCCCCGTCCGTCTGAATCCTGCGCGATTCGGTGCAGCCGCCCGCTCGCGCCGGCCGCGTGATCTGGTGAGTGCCTTTTGTTTTGCTCTGCTATCTCTTCTCCTCGTCCCCGTTCACGGTGGGGTTGTAGGGGAGCTGCGGGGGGCGGAGATCTGGGGGTGCGAACCGTAATGGCGGCGCTGCGTGCCGGGGGTTTAGCTGGGAGGTGTGGGTTTGGGGCGGTGGATTTAGCGGGGATCTCCACTTCATGCCTCATCTGTTTGATTGCGTAGCATTCTGGTTTGGGTGTTGAGACTGAAGTCATAATAAAATCAAATTGTTCTCTTGGGTGCTCGATTTGTGAGAGCTGACTGCTCAGATCGCGATCTTCTGGAGCTCCTTTGCTGCTTGGCCAGATGGGGCCGGTCAACAGCCCGCGGGTTTCCATGTTTTTGGAGTCAGATTCTAGGGTTCCTGGATGTTATTGGCTTATTGCTGGGTTTAAGGCCAGATATACTATTAGATTTGGTAAAGTGGGATCCCCTAGCGTTTAGCCGTTCAGATGTCATTATTGGTGACCATCATGGGGTGCTCTATTTCAGTAGGGCCATCTAGGCTTTATTTTTAATTATTAGGGTGCTGCTAATTTGGGGATAAGTATATCATTAGTTGGTGATAGGGCTCACGAATGCGACACTTGCAGTGCATGTGAGATTTTGCTGCCTACCATGGGCCGACGTGATTGTTTGGGTTGGTTTGGCTCGATTAAGCATTGATGCCGTCAGGTTTAGGAGTACATTTCGTGCTAAGATTACTTGTTTGGCAACCAAGATTTATTCTCAGGTCATGCTCCTTCCTTACAGGTTGTTCTGAAATGGCCGGCGGCATCACTTGTGGATCCTTGCTGCAGAAATTACAGGTATGTGGTTCCCCTTTGCACTTTGCGAGCCGCAACAAGGTTGTTTTTTGTTTGCCAACTTGGATTGTGCAATTGATGGTGACATGCTTCTTACCTGAAATCTTCCTGCTATAGCTTGTATGGGATGAAGTTGGTGAGAGCGACGAGGACCGTGACAAGGTCCTGTACCAGCTGGACCAGGAGTGCCTGGATGTCTACAAGAGGAAAGTTGACCAGGCCACCAACTCTAGGGATCTCCTTATCCAGGCGCTGGATGACTCGAAGATCGAGCTTGCCAGACTTCTTTCTGCCCTTGGGGAAAAAGCTGTTGCGAGAACTGTAAGTTAATATTGTCGCAACGATTAGATTTCCTGGTTGATTTTCATCCTAGACAATTCTGTGCGGTACATGCATGGTACATTCTAGTGCATATTCAGTGGAACTAGGAACCGACCTATGAAGCTTTTCTGTATTTGCAGTTCCCACCTCATTCTTTTCCTCTCGCTGTGCATGATATTGATTGTCATAGCTCAGAAGTGAAATGATAACTCACTATGAATGCGTAAAGCCAGTTTTTTAATTATTGGAAGTAAGTTGAGAATTATCAATTATGAATGCATGCAGCCTGAGAAGACATCAGGGACAATCAAGCAACAGTTAGCTGCTATCGCTCCAACACTTGAGCAGTTGAATAAGAAGAAGAATGAGAGAAAGAGGGAATTTGTTAGTGTACAGTCACAAATTGATCAAATATGTGGTGAGATTGCTGGCACCACAGAGGTCGGTGAGCAGGTGGCTACACCACAGGTCAACGAGGATGATTTGACACTTGAGAGGCTTGAAGATTTTCGCTCCCAACTCCAGGAGCTTGAGAAAGAGAAGGTAATACCCACTCCTTCCCAAATTTGTTTTTGATTTTTACATGATCGAAGATAAAATGTTTTATCATGATGTTTTTACTATTTCTTTGCCTCTGGTTCCCAATGGCTAACAAAGAGTTTCTTTCTGCTTGAAAATTGGTTTGCAGAGCAATAGGTTGGAGAAGGTTCTTGACTATGTAAGCATGGTACATGATCTATGTACCGTCTTGGGCATGGATTTTCTCAGCACCGTGACTGAAGTTCATCCCAGTCTAGATGACTCCATTGCTGATAACTGCAAGAGCATCAGCGATGATACATTATCAAAACTTGACAAGACAGTAGCCACACTTCATGAAGATAAAAAGTTGAGGCTAAGCAAGGTAAAAATAAAATCAAATTTCTTAAAATCTGAAACGCATGCCCTATTTTATTACATGCACAATCTCATTAATGGCTTATTTTGTATTCTCAGCTTCAAGAGCTTGCTGGTCAACTGTATGATCTTTGGGATCTCATGGATGCTCCCACACAAGAAAGGAGCATGTTTGATCATGTTACCTGCAACAGATCAGCATCTGTAGATGAAGTCACTGCTCCTGGAGCACTTGCACTTGATTTAATTGAACAGGTTAGGTTACATCTGAAATTATCTGGTAGAATTATTACCTGGTATGAATTGTTTGTTCAGCTCTGTTTGGCCTTTTCTTCCAATTCAGGCTGAGACAGAGGTTCAAAGGCTAGACCAGCTAAAATACAGTAAGATGAAAGAAATCGCTTTCAAGAAGCAAACTGAGTTGGAAGACATCTATGCCGGTGCTCACACAGTAATAGACACCGCAGCTGCCCATATGAAATTGTTGGCACTGATTGAGGCAGGGAACATAGAACCAACAGAACTAATTGCAGATATGGAAGGTCAGATAGCAAAAGCAAAGGAAGAAGCATTGAGCAGAAAGGATATATTAGATAAAGTTGAAAAATGGATGTCTGCGTGTGAAGAAGAAAGTTGGCTTGAAGATTATAACAGGGTATGCTAATAATTTACTTTTGCAAATCAGTGCTGCTGGTTTTGGGACTAGCTTCTCACGCACAAATTGAAAATCCTTCTGCAGGATGACAACAGATATAACTCCAGCCGAGGTGCCCATCTGAATCTCAAACGTGCAGAAAAAGCTCGTATTCTTGTCAGCAAGATTCCAGGTACTTTCTGAAATACAAACATGAACATCTGCTATGAACATTTGTATACCTTGGAGACCAATTTATGTTTATTGGATTTTCTTCCGGTCATGTATTTATTCTACACATCTAATCCTTTTTGTTGCTAATGCAATCAATGCTTCCATTCCAGCGCTTGTTGAAACTCTGGTGGCCAAGACTAGGGCATGGGAAGAGAGTCGTGGTCTGTCCTTTATGTATGACGGTGTACCGCTTCTAGCTATGTTGGACGAGTATGTTATGCTAAGGGAGGAAAGAGAAGAAGACAAGAAAAGAATGAAGGTATGTTCTCTTAAAATTGGAAGCCAATCATTCCCCAGTTTAGAATACCCTTGAATTGTCAGTTCGGTTATTTTGAGCGTCTCTTGTACGCTGTCAGTGTTTTAAACATGCTCGCTGTGTTTAGAAATTGGCATTGATTGTCTGGTTTGTACACTTCTGAGTTCAGTTTGTTAGGATGCTGTTACATGTAATCATAGGTAGGAAAAATGGAACTTGGACAGAAACACCACTTGATTCATCACTAGTGCCTAGGGCTGATGTTTCTATATGCAGCATATGCTCTTGACCCCTATTTCCATAACATTAACTCCATTTTGTGTGTTGCATTAACATCCCAGGAACAAAAGCGCTATGTCGAGCAGAAACTGAACACTGACCACGAAGGGCCGTTTGGATCGCGAGTCAGCCCCAACAGGCCGGCTACGGCAAAGAAGTTACCCGGCCCAAAGTCCAACGGCACCTCCATGAATGGCACTCCTCCGAGCAGAAGACTATCGATCAGTGGTCAGCAGAATGGAAGGTCTGGGGGGAAGGACAGCAAGAGAGACAGCGCGACGAAGGCCGCCTCGTCTCCGGGGAACGGAGCCGCCGCCGCAGCTGCCAAGGAAGACGCATCCTCCCACATTTCCGGCACCGATATGGCTCCGACCACGCCGTGATCCTGACCTAATATGGTGTATTAGAAGATAAGAAGAGGACATTTGCTGATGTTTTTTCCATTGTTTTGTGCTAATATAATGTGCTGTGTTTGTAGCGAGGAGAGGGAGTACATGTGACGTCCATCGACCCCTCCGTAGTCCGGCTACCTGGCCAGGGTTTGTTTGCTCCTGATGTAAAGTGGTGTTCCACTTTTGATTAGTTTCACCGAGGCGTACTATTTTCTACTACCTGTGATCAGACGTTGTAGTATAGACTTTGCTGGTCTGTGTTGTTAGTCGTTGAAATAACCTTTTTGTGTGCCCTGCCTGGTCATTGCCTCCTAACCCTATTAGCATGGTTATTTTTTGTTTCCTTTTGTTTTCCCACGTTTGCTTGTGATACTCTGATTTGCCGCTGACGCCTGAGTTCTTCATCCCTATGATGATAAAGTTCTTCATCACAAACTGACGAGGAGCCTTGCCTATTTTAACATTGCTTGCCTGTTTGAGCATGACCTTAGAGTAAGTATCATCTGCCGCTTGCCTGGTCTTAAACTCTTTGAAGGAGTTGCTGCTTGTCTAGTCTTAAACCCTTTGAAGGAGTTGTCTGTGTAACTGCTCACTTGTTCTTGGCATGTGTAACAGCTCACTTGTTCTTGGCATGCTGGCAATGATTGTAAATCCCTGGGAGCAACAATTCAAACAACAAGCAAAGGAGCACACTACACATGGAACATAAAAAACTTAGACATGCATGATCATAAGGTAGAGCAAGTTCATCCTAACTAATATGGTGTCATCCTACCACCACACCGAAAAGAGGGTGTAATATTACCACCGCAACTGCACCATCAGCGTGAGGGGTTAGTATATGCCATCTCATCAAAATATACAGGCCAACAAAAAACTTAGACATGCATGATCATAAGGTAGAGCAAGTTCATCCTAACTAATATGGTGTCATCCTACCACCACACCGAAAAGAGGGTGTAATATTACCACCGCAACTGCACCATCAACGTGAGGGGTTAGTATATGCCATCTCATCAAAATATACAGGCCAACAACATCAAGCCCTAACTACCACAAAATGTACATCGTCATGTCATCACCTTCATTGTCGAGGATCATGCACGCCTTGTTGTCCAGCAGGTGGCTCAAAGCAGACACCAGAGCCTCTGGACTAAAGCCACCTTGGTCCATGACGAAGTTGTACAGGTGAGGGTGAATGTCGACCGGCTTGCTCTCCCTAATGGCGGTTGCCACCTCCTTGGCAGCATCAGCCAGGCTGCCGAAGACGCCCATCTCGTCCTCCATCAGTTCACCCCTCTTCCTCTTTCTGTCGAGCACAGGAACGTGATCACCACCCTTATCGGGAACATAAAGGTTGATGGTGTCTGACTCATGGGCGTCTGGATAGTTAGGCATATGTGAACTGAGCGGCTCACTGGAACCATGGCATGCTTGCTGGTTTCCATCCCAAAGGAGAAGATTTACATCTGCGGGTAGTTTCAGATGAGTGTGTTGAGAAACTCGGTGTCCTTGGGGGTGGTCCTAAGAAAGAAACACATCATAATTAGGTGTTATTGGCATGTTAGACATGCTTGGACAAGTGGTATGTGAGCTAATCGGTATGTGGCCTTGGTAGTGCTCTGAGTGTCATGATCCGCCGCTAATGTCTCTGAGCTTGGACACTCTGATCCATCTCACTCTCCACTTGCTGGGGTGGTTGTAGACTTGGCTCAAGGTGACCTCTTGGCCACAGAACTCGAACACCTGCTTGGCAATAGAGTTCAAGTGCACCTCCTTGAAGCACTTGTCAGTCCTCACCCCACCGGCTATGATATCACATCTTGTTAAGAACAAGTGTGCACATGAATGACTGCCATTTCATCGAGTTCCCCCCTCGCATCCTTCTTTGCCTTTGCAACCTTTGATGGCCGCCTTTTGTGTAGCAGCAACAACATTAGGCACGACCGAAACAAATATTGTAGGCACAAATGGTGGAAGGATAGCAGACCCCTCGAAGGCACCTGAATCTGAGGCATCTTCTCCTCGATAATAGGTTGGGAGTGCTCTACATAGGACGGTGGGAACTGGCTCTCAGACAAGACAATGGGTTGACGTGCTCATGCCCTACAAGCGTTAGCATCAGTAAGAGTGGAACCATGACATATGGACGGTATGAACGAGCACTATACATGAATAGTACAAACGAGCACTAAACATAGACAGTAAGCATTGTGCACACAGATTATTGAGTTGGACACACCACCCTATGACTGTTCTTTGATCTCATGGCGTACCATGGAGTTCAACACACTACTATATCTACCATAGTATCATCCTTGCCGACATGGAAACAACATGAAGCTCATCAAATCCTAGCAAGGAATCCATCACTACTAGCCACCACAATATCACATTCTCACATATCAACAGTGTACAGTGCTACAACTTGCTCACAAATCCACTTGTATCACATGCCTACATATCTAGCTAGAACCAGTAGAGAGGAAGAGTGATCAAATTCACAACCATGAGCGCGCGGAACACGTCGAAGAAGAGGACACGAACCACCATCACCGTGTACCATCGGACGGAGAAGAAGGGTCGCTTACCTGTTCGACGGTATTGATCTGTTGGAAATATGCCCTAGAGGCAATAATAAATGATTATTATTATATTTCCTTGTTCATGATAATTGTCTGTTATTCATGCTATAATTGTGTTATCCGGAAATCATAATACATGTGTGAATACACAGGCCACAACATGTCCCTAGTGAGCCTCTAGTTGACTAGCTCGTTGATCAACTGATAGTCATGATTTCCTGACTATGGACATTGGATGTCGTTGATAACGGGATCACATCATTAGGAGAATGATGTGATGGACAAGACCCAATCCTAAGCATAGAACAAGATCGTGTAGTTCGTTTGCTAGAGCTTTTCCAATGTCAAGTATCTTTTCCTTAGACCATGAGATCGTGTAACTCCCGGATACCGTAGGAGTGCTTTGGGTGTACCAAACGTCGCAACGTAACTGGGTGACTACAAAGGTATACTACAAGTATCTATGAAAGTGTCTGTTGGGTTGACACGGATCGAGACTGGGATTTGTCACTCCGTATGACGGAGAGGTATCTCTGGGCCCACTCGGTAATGCATCATCATAATGAGCTCAAAGTGACCAAGTGTTTGGTCATGGGATCATGCATTACGGTACGAGTAAAGTGACTTGCCGGTAACGAGATTGAATGAGGTATTGGGATACCGACGATCGAATCTCGGGCAAGTAACGTACCAATTGACAAAGGGAATTGTATACAGGGTTGCTTGAATCCTCGACATCGTGGTTCATCCGATGAGATCATCGAGGAGCATGTGGGAGCCAACATGGGTATCCAGATCCCGCTGTTGGTTATTGACCGGAGAGTCGTCTCAGTCATGTCTACGTGTCTCCCGAACTCGTAGGGTCTACACACTAAAGGTTCGGTGATGCTAGGGTTGTAGAGATATGAGTATGCAGTAACCAGAAAGTTGTTCGGAGTCCCGGATGAGATCCCGGACGTCACGAGGAGTTCCGGAATGGTCCGGAGGTAAAGAATTATATATAGGAAGTCAGGTTTCGGCCATCGGGAAAGTTTCGGGGGTCACCGGTATTGTACCGGGACCACCGGAAGGGTCCCGGGGGTCCACCGGGTGGGGCCACCTATCCCGGAGGGCCCCATGGGCTGAAGTGGGAGGGGAACCAGCCCCTGGTGGGCTGGTGCACCCCCCCTTTGGCCCCCCCTGCGCCTAGGGTTGGGAAACCCTAGGGGTGGGGGCGCCTCCACCTGGCTTGGGGGGCAAGCCACCCCCTGGCCGGCGCCTGTTGGGGAACGTAGCAGAAATTCAAAATTTTCCTACGTGTCACCAAGATCTATCTATGGAGAAACCAGCAACGAGGGGAAGGAGAGTGCATCTACATACCCTTGTAGATCGCTAAGCGGAAGCGTTCAAGTGAACTGGGTTGATGGAGTCGTACTCGTCGTGATTCAGATCACCGATGATCCTAGTGCCGAACGGACGGCACCTCCGCGTTCAACACACGTACAGCTCGACGATGTCTCCCACGCCTTGATCCAGCAAGGAGAGAGGGAGAGGTTGAGGAAGACTCCATCCAGCAGCAGCACAACGGCGTGGTGGTGATGGAGGAGCGTGGCAATCCTGCAGGGCTTCGCCAAGCACCTACGGGAGAGGAGGAGGTGTCACGGGAGGGAGGGAGGCGCCAAGGGCTCAGGTATGGATGCCCTCCCTCCCCTCCACTATATATAGGGGCAGGGGAGAGGGGGGAGGCGCAGCCTTGCCCCTTCCTCCAAGGAAGGGGTGCGGCTAAGAGGGGGGGGGAGGAGTCCATCCTCCCCAAGGCACCTCGGAGGTGCCTTCCCCCTTTAGGACTCTCCCCTTTTTCCTATATCTTGGCGCATGGGCCTCTAGGGGCTGGTGCCCTTGGCCCATGTAGGCCAAGGCGCACCCCCTACAGCCCATGTGGCCCCCCGGGGCAGGTGGCCCCACCCGGTGGGCCCCCGGGACCCTTCCGGTGGTCCCGGTACAATACCGATGACCCCGAAACTTGTCCCGATGGCCGAAACAGGACTTTCTATATATAAATCTTTACCTCCGGACCATTCCGGAACTCCTCGTGACGTCCGGGATCTCATCCGGGACTCCGAACAACATTCGGTAACCACATACAAGCTTCCTTTATAACCCTAGCGTCATCGAACCTTAAGTGTGTAGACCCTACGGGTTCGGGAGACATGCAGACATGACCGAGACGTTCTCCGGTCAATAACCAACAGCGGGATCTGGATACCCATGTTGGCTCCCACATGTTCCACGATGATCTCATCGGATGAACCACGATGTCAAGGACTCAATCGATCCCGTATACAATTCCCTTTGTCTAGCGGTATTTTACTTGCCCGAGATTCGATCGTCGGTATACCGATACCTTGTTCAATCTCGTTACCGGCA